TGGGTTTACAGCTTTCTCTTGTTGTAATCAATAATGTTGTATGTATTGGGTTTACAGCTTTCTCTTGTTGTAATCAATAATGTTGTATGCATTGGGTTTACAGCTTTCTCTTGTTGTAATCAATAATGTTGTATGCATTGGGTTTACAGCATTCTCTTGTTGTAAGCAATAATGTTGTATGTATTGGGTTTACAGCTTTCTCTTGTTGTAATATAGTGAGACAAAAAATCTATATAGTTAAAATAATTTTGGCATAGATTGCCACTTTGAGATAGTTCATTTTCATGTAATCCAAAAAGAGAGAAAATTAGAAAATAAAAAATAGAGAAAACGTTTAAGACCATTCAATTAACATTTCACAGGGTATTATTAACTATATTTGGATTAAAATTTCACACGGTATTATTAACAATATTTGGATTAACATTTCACAGGGTATTATTAACAATATTTGGTTTAAAGTAGGTACGAACTTCATGATATTTCAATATTGATAACAAAAAAACTATTATTTATTTTAAACTTATAAGATTATCTACATGTTTTAAATCCTAGGAGAAAAGTGGGTTCTTGTTAAGGACAAAGCTACACAATGGGCTATCTGTGATATGTCCACTGTGAGATCGAACCCTGAAGTTTAGCATTATAAGCCTTTAAGCTAACAGCTGAACCTTAGATTAAAGAAAGAACATTTAAAAAGGTTAGCAACGTAGTGATGGGGATATTACAACTCATCCCAAACCGTCAGTTTTATGTTACGCCTCCGTTCGTTAGTCAATTTTCCGTATAATTTCTTTCCGAAGAAACTTTAGCGATACAAGTCATTTCTTAAATAAAACTGGTTTATTCTTTCTAAATACAATTTTGCAATACACTTAATTTCCACAGTCACGCTATAATAAACGCTATTATTCACAACGAACGTCTCACGTGCTCGACTCAACAATACGTCTCTCATGTCCGCAGTTCAATTACCATTGTTGCCGTCAGTTCTTGGCGGCTTATATATATATATACAAGACTACCGCATATCTAGTAGCATCTCGAGACTTCAGGAAGGGACAGGATCCTTCTAGAAGTTCATGACGTGTTACTAGCGTCACGTGACCCCCGCTGTCGTAACAATTACAATACGTGAATATACAAATATATATTTATATATGTGTCTGTAAAAGCAGACTTTCAAACCTTCAACAAACTTCAGAATATGACTTACTAGAGTAAGATTGTTGCACACTTCACGGTATGTCCATGTAACCCGTAAGAAAATATTCTACCTTAAAATGTTAATGCTACTTATTATAGTATAGCGCTAAAACTCGGGTTTCGATACCTGCGACGGGGACAGCATAGATAATCCATTTGTAGCTTTGTGCTTGATGAAAACAAACAAAAAGCTTATTATAGATAATTTCACAAGCAAGTATTATTAAAGGAATTTACATGTCGTATATACACTATTTGAATAATTAAATATGCCAAATTCAAATATATACTTTCTCTGTGTCTTCATATATATATATACACACATAACTCACAAAAACGTATAGTTATTATTTAGAGCTCAAGAATTAAAGAAAATTGAATCAGTAAGAGCAACCATATTTGAAGATTGTATTTTTGCTCAAAAGTTTTGAACTAAATATTGCTTTTTAGCAGATACATAAAGTATTCCTGTATTCCGCTACTTGCTGCTCAACTAGCGTTTTGGTTTCAATATCTATCAAATATGTTCTATGTACCAAATGTTCTGATCTTCAACTTTATTTGTTGCTTCTTTCCAAAGTTACAAGTTATAGATAAATGCTATCTTCAAAATTTGAAGTAATTTCGATATGAAAATGTAAATTTTTCCCAAAGAGACAACTTACCATGTCCACGTTCCTCTAAGTCTAAGTCTTGATATTTAATCAATTTTAGACTTAGGATGTAACAATTAATTGCCAGGTATGTCATAAAAATTTGCCGATAAAAAGGAAAATAGAAAATGATACAAAAATGTGAAGTTATATATATATACTCATATTTCTGTATTTTTTTACTTCTTATAGATTTGTAATTCGACCCAATCCAATACTGAGTAAAAGGTTATTTATAAACAAAGAAGAATCAATGACAGTTAGAACCCCCTCACGGCGTGTCCGTCGACTACACGAAGATAGAACACCCACAAAAGAGTTATCGCCAAGTTTTGCCCTGTCAACTGCTAATGCAACTGAAAATAGCATTTCATCAGAGGAGCAGATGAATAATGGAAATCTACGATTAGAAGTTTCTGGAACTACAAACGTAGAAATTACCCCTCCAAATAAGAACGAGGCAGTCACAGCTGTCTAGCTAATTTATCTTGAAAGAACTTGTTCAAGTTTGCTATTTTGTTAAAAATGCTTTTATGTTGGTTTAATACTTTGTCTTAAGACGTTATTTAAAAAAAAAGAGTATTTAAGAAAAATAAATTAATTATACGCGTGAAAAATAGATTGGATGTACATTTTCAACTAAATTCTGTAATCTTAGAAGAAATGTAATTTTTATTAAGAAATACTTATTAGCTAGACACAAATGAAACACCAGTGTCTTTCCTTTACTAGTTTCAAAAATAAGGCTATTCGTAGAACTGCTAAGGATGTGTTGTTATAGAAACATGGTTATCGTGTATGTCACGCTAGTCAGACAAAAAACGTGCAATCACACAAAATTACCGTTTTTGTAATTGAAGTTTTTGAGACAACTTGTTATTTGTTTCAGTTGGTATGTTTAAATGTCCTTAACCGAAATGATTTCATGCACCGTAACTGAAATATATACCTTATGATACAATTTATTCACAAGTTTTTGCCTTAATTCCTAAAGCATCGAAATAGAATCGATTAAAAATCCATTATTGTTAAAGGAAAAATTTTTGGAACAGATAATTGTGATTAGTATTAATATAAAACCAGCAAATGTTCGTTAATAGTAAATTTGAGTTTATTTTTTTGAAGTACTTCCAACATTTATGGGCGATTACCTGCTTAACACATAGTTTATTTCAGTATGTGAAGTAAACCAAACCAAATAATTTGAGAATTACAAAGATGTTTTCAGTTAAGCTCTACAAAATTGGAATCCAAATGGATCACTAACATGTATTATTACTGTACTTAATATTACTTCTATATTCTATTTCATTAAACTTTCACTAAAAGGAATCTGAAAGGATTTGCTGACAATTTTCTTTTAATACCAAATATGTAATACTAAAATAAATAATTTGAAATTGTTTTCAAATATTTGTATATTTCTTAACATATTCCAATTGTAACCGACATTTATTTTTGTTCTACAGTTCTCAGAAATTATTTGTACATGCTTTGGATTTTTATAAGTCAGTATTATTCAAACATCAGAAAAACATTTTTCAACAGTATTTTTAACGATATTTATTTGAAAAACGATTTTTTTTTTTGCCTCTCGAGTGGCACAGCGGTATGTCTGCGGACTTACAGCGCTACAATCCAGGTTTCGATACCCGTGGGGGTCAGAGCACAGATAGCCCATTGTGTAACTTTGTGCTTAATTACAAACAATATTTTGTTTTCAAAATGACTATTTTAATTCTACAAGAGAATTTAATATGAAGGTTTAGTGGAAGGAATCTAACGCTGATTTAATTTATTGTTATGGTAGCATATAAATATACAAATAAGTAGGTTATCTTAAAGATACCCTACTTATTGTGATGCGTACCATTTTTTTATGAAAATGTATAGGCTTTAATATTACGATCAACTCAAATCAATTTTATTCTTTATGCTTATCCCTTGGAAAAGCAGCTTTAGTTATATGTTTGTTGTGATATGATTGTTTCTAACTCGTGTGCGTGTGTTTTGTATTTCGATATTTCAAGTAAGAAAGCCAGTTTATCTTAACTTTCAAACGACTAAACATAAAATATTACCAAAACTATAAGTAAAAGTTCAGTAGCACTTTGCTGTTTGTTTAATTTCGGCTTCTTATGAAGAATTAAAAGAACTGAATTTCTAGTGACGATTTTATTTAAATATTCACACTTTCCTTATTTGTTTAAGACAAACAATGTCATTTCCATAAAAATTCAATATGATAACTTTTTATCTCAGATTTATTAATTTCATTATTTTAATCATTCAGATGTGCTTGGACAGGATTGTAATCAATGATTTTTTTTTTAATTCAAGGTGATCAAAATACTTGAAAAGCTATGTGTATATATTCTAGCGTATTTGAATAATAAATAAATACTTACTTTTTGAAAACCTTAAACATAAATAAAGTACTGACAAATATGAAGGCAAATAATATTTGGAGACGGCTTGAATTGGTAATGAAGAAAAACGTTAATATAAGTTTAACATAACAGCAACTGTACAACGTTTCGACAAGGTTCTGTCATCATCAGGTACCAAAAAAAAATGAAGGCAGTGTTTTCACACTTGAAGTGTTGCTACTGCTTTTTAATCCTCTAATTGATTATAGATCTTATGTTAATATACTTGTACAAAGATCAGCCTTTAAACATCTTAACATAGCAAGTATATAATAAGTATTCGAGCTATGAAATCTACATAATATAACTATATATTTAAACATGCTGTGTATTCTAAAACAGTATAATAAACTTGTTCAAAAGATTTCTGTACGTTAACAAATATATCATGTTTACCAAGCTTTCCTCCTACATTGACATTTTTGAAGATGTAGCCTTCAAGATTTTTTCTTCTTCTGAAGTATGTTAACTTTTAGTAAACAAAGAAACTTTCGAAGTTTAAAGAAAACATTTTTTATTTTGGTTATCTCTACACTTTCCATATTTTTTTAGCTTAAATATTATTGGCTATAGACAATTGGTTTAACATTATCAACTAAACTTTCAAATATCAGTAATATTAATTATGGTATTTTGGCACTTGTGTATGAAGTTAAAACCATAAATAATATTCAACGTTAAACTGGTACACAATTAAAAACATTTTATTTAGGCCTATCTATGGTCATCCTCGAAACATGTAGAGTCGTCAACTTTTTGAAGGCCATAGATAGGCCTAAATAAAATGTTTTTAATTGTGTACCAGTT